GTGCTTAATTTTAGAAACCTTTAAGCTATGTTGCCTTCCGGTGGTTTTTTGGCTTTTATATCAAAAAAATTATAAAAATTTGTACAGGGTTGAACAGTCACTTGCTAGCTTATATAGATCTAGTTTTTCATTTTGGGAATCTTAACTTTTTTAAATGTGATTTAAAAGTTAACTTATTTAGGTTGTTACCAAACAAGTAGATATAGAAAAACTTGGTTAAATGCTCATTTGATTAAAATAAAAAGCCCCAGACACCCGCTATATTTCCGAGAGTACCAAACCTCAACCAAGAGATACAATAAAAAGATTCAAGCTTTTAGTGATATAGCCTTGGATCATAGTGATGATTTTTGTATATACACTATTTGGATGTTCTATGCCAATAATTCAATACCGGAATAAGGAATGAAGTGGATGCATGAATGCATGAACTTCTAAAAATTCAGATGTTAACATTTCACTAATGACAGTTAGAAAAATATATGTCTATGGTTATACGGCTATAAGGTGTTTTTTTTTGGGGGTGGGGTGGGGGGTGGGGTGGTGGTGGTGTCAAAGTAGCTTTTAAGCTAGTTGTTCCATGTCTACTGGTTTGTTAATAAGCTAGCTTTAACCCTAACTTATTAAAATAAGCTCATAAGCTCCCCAAATATGCTAGGTTTGACCAAACAAATGACTAATCTACCCATATAATTTTTATAAATGTTTATCATAAAACCCAAAAACCACCGAGATCCACCAAAATTTAAAATAGGTTAAAGTTTAAAAGCTTCTAAACATAGACAATAAACCCCCCTCCCCCCCAAAAAAAATACCGCCACCCCAAGAAAAAACACCCGAATAATGGTGAGAAAAATGTGATAATTTGGGGAACATAAAACTTGTCAATTTTACATAAATCAATATGGAGCAATCATAAATATTTGTTTAAGGAAGTCAACAAATTGTATAATTGCATTCACAAGGCAATTGGAAGTGTTAACTTATCAAATGAAATTATGAACATATTATTCTGCATTAGATTTTTAGCTTCCTGGATACACGTTTTATGTATTTGATACGTGTATAGACATTATAGATTTTAGTACATGATATTAATATTAAGCGGGCATGAGACAAGTACCCAAATATCTAAATAACAGATTCATGACACTATCTCTGCTGAAGTATTTTTATAATATAGACGATAAAAGGCTACAATATCCATACTGATCCCATGGATAACAATTGTATTTGCAACGCTTTAAATATCGGATATCCAAGAAATATCAAATGGCCAAAATTCATATCGGATTGTGAGTATTGGGGATATATGGAGTAAATATTGAAATGCAATAACGGATATTTGCATGTATAGTATATAATGCACTAAAATGTAATCTCAATATACTTAATGAAACTTAAGCATACAAAATATAAATAGTATATGTTTGGGATCACTAATCAACCTTGTAAAATAAAAAACAAGTACAAATCAACGTTACAACATTTTGTCTAATTTTTTAAGGCCAAAAATGTCATTTTTTAAAATGGGAAAGTCATGATATGTCGCCCAAAAATTACTAAACACGGTATATTGTTTTACAACAAGCGATAAAAAAGATATATCGATCAACATATCGGCTAATATATCGAATATATGGGGGATATTTAGAGAGCATATCGGTTGCGGCAATCTCTGTAAAAGGATATATCGGGGGATATATCGGGCCATGTCGGGGATATTTAGAACAATGTGTATTTGAACCATCTATTACCTTAATCGAATATGGATAGCACTTATCTATGAATTCTAAATCCAGTTTCCTAGTATATTTGATTAAGACAATATATGTTTCTGACTTCTGAGTATTTTTGAATCCGCTACCGGCACCTGAAATTCTTTTTGGTAGATAGCAATTGTTATGTCAAGTCGGTTATTATCTATAGTGCTTGGTGACTAATGACTATAAAGTAAAAATATAGTAACTCTGACATTTCTGACATATTGTGTGTTAAATATGGAAGTACTATGTAATGCAATACAAAATCGAGATGACATATTGTGTGTTAAATATGGAAGTACTATGTAATGCAATACAAAATCGATACTATTATATTAAAACCTATACTATTATATTAAAAACCTATACAAAATCTACACTACTATATTAAAACCTAGGGGGGCATCTACTTTCAAAAAGTGTCCTCCATTCCTCTCTTCACTGTTCTTTTATTGAGAGCAAAATTGTCAATTGGCAGAAGTTACCGCCATGATCAACTCAACGGTTTGAAATGTTATTCTCACCCTTTTATTTCTTCCTGTTTCTTTCCCTCTATAATCCGTACATGTTGAGATGGGACTACACTTTGTAAAATTGATGTGTTAATAACAACCCAAGTGTCATACTTGGTAATGGAGAACTAACCTTCTTATTTCTGAAAAAAACAACACTAACTTTCTTAAGAGAAAAGTTTATTAGTTATTACTCCTTCAAATCTTAAATAATTGTTTATTACTTCCTCAAATCTTTAAAATTACTCATAAGTCCTTCTAATCATAAGGAGGCTTGCAATTTGGTCCCTCAATGATCAAAATAATCCTCAGTTGATTTTTCTTTGAGGCATTATTTTGCAAATTGACACTCTAAAGTTGCACTTTTTTAACTTTGAAGCCTCAAGTTTTTTTGACACTCTGATACGCGGCATACGCCCCATGTTTACACTTCTTTTAACTTCAATACCTTAAATGTTTGCACCTTTTTTGTTTAACACTTCGTTAGAAAAAATGATTGCTTCAATTTCCACGTCTACTGCTGATCTATCATATTTACTATTTTTGGATGCATCCCATTTTAATTAGAATTTCAGTGCTCTTAATTTTTTCCTAAAGAAATTTTTATTATCGCACGTGCATTGCACGTGCTGTAATGCTAGTCGATATATAATGTGTATAAATATGCATAGCGGATATCTCACTAGTTCCACCACTTTGTCTGTTCATCAATATCTGTTAGATATCTAATTTCTTCCTGCAAAATATCCCATATCCAAGTTCTTTTAAATCGGCAGAATATAGAACATGTATAATATGTCAGGTATCCATTTATGCTTCTGCGCTGATTCCTCATGGATAAGGGAGGGCTTTGATAACGATGGTGATGGAAAATATGCACATGTTGCTTCAATTTTATTTGACATTTTCCTTGTATGCTCATTATTTTGTTTCCCAACAGTAATTTCCTGCTTATATTTATATACACCAATACATAATTAAAGTACTTGGAGTCTAGTTATTCAAAAGACAGATTGATTGAAAGAGCTCATTATGGCTCCGGAAAACAGGTTTTTGTTTTATCTCACCAGATGTTTTTATAGTTGAATTTGACAACAGAAGTTGATTGTCAAGGAGTGAGCTGGCACCCACATAAGCATATTCTAGCATTTATCTCTGGACAAAACCAGATCACCATACGTGATTATGAGGACTCAGGTTAGTGACGATGTCTATCTTTTCTTTGGTTGAATAAGTAGATTAAACATTCTATTTGTATATGGTTTGAAAAGGACCTTCTACAGTTGCATTAACATTGAAAGAGGTCTGGCCTGATACTAAATTCAACACTTTCTTCTTAGCAGAGGGCAAAGATCCATGTGTTTTAACTAGTGACTACCAAAAAGATATTACAACACTCGAGTGGAGGCCAAACAGTGGAAAGATGCTTTCTGTTGCGGCCAAGTAAGTGTATATCTGGTGTTTCCTTCTTACTTTGGATCTCATTGTATCAGTTCAAACTATTTTGATGTTATTATTTTACATTGAGTTAATTAGTACTTCCACATTTTGAACAATTTCTTTCACAGGGGTGGTATTTGCATTTGGTCTGCATCTTACCCGGGTAATTCTGCGTCTGTGAGATCTGGGGTCAGCTCATCCCTTGGCACTGTTTCTAGGGGATCCGGAGTTAGATGGACACTAGTAGACTTTCTTCGAAGCCGTAATGGTGAACAAATCAGCTCTCTTTGTTGGAATCCTGATGGCAGATATCCTTAATTTTTCTATACCCTTCTCATGAAAATTTGCATACTACCTTGAACCTTCCTTTTCTTTAAGTTTAATCAGAAAAAAATTTGCTAAATAATCAAAGTTGTCTTAGATGTATGTCAGTGGTTTTAAGAGTTTGTATCCTTGACATTTTTTTTTCGCACGTACTTGGCGTCGGCTTCCTATCGGAGCTCATCATTCACTATATGGGATGTTGCTCAAGGTACTATCTTTTTTAAGTTTGCAGTTATTCTGGAATTTATGTTACTAATACTTATCAAGGAGGTATAGATTTGCTTAATTGTTGAAGGATTCATTACTATTTATTTGAATACAATCTGAAGGTTTTTTTTATAAGGAGCTGTTTATTTATTCTGTATTTTAACTTTTTCTTGCCTATCAGCCAATGCTATGCTTCCGTTGTAGAACAAGGTCTAAGAATGTTGCTGATTCTAGTAAGTTTTGGCCATATTATTGGCATTTGTTGTTTTGATCCAAAATAATAGGGTTTAGCTCAAGATAGAGAGTTGGTGTGTGTAGAAATCAGAGAGGAAGAGGTTCTTGTTTTTATTGATTGATTCACAGAAGCCTAAGGGGCTATTTATAACTATAAGCGAGATTAGATTCAATAAATCTGGACTTTTGTTCTCAACAAACATGATCTTACACTATCCTAACAACAAATCTATTATCTTAACAATAAATCTGTAAAGCAGATTGATTCTCACAATCTCTGCAGTTCTTATCATAACTACTTTGACACTCCCCTTCAAGCTGAAGCGTAGATATTGTCGAAGCCAAGCGTGCCCATGAATGTGTGAAAAAGCTTCAGAGGTAATGCCCTTGTGAGAATATCAGCAAGTTGCTCAGCAGATTGAACATGAGAAAGAAACCACCTTCTTCGCCCATTCATCAATGTGATGGTATGTGCTTGCATGAATTGACTGACCATGTTGATTGCATACACAATATCTAGTTTGGTCATCGAAAGGTATATGAGCTTCATTTATGATATTCTCCTGGATTAGTGGATTAGTGAATGGGGGATCACTAGTAAAAGCAGACAACTTAATGTTGGGGCCCATAGGTGTATCACTAGGTCGACATCCTAACATTCTTGTCTCGGTAAGAATGTCGAGTATATATTTTCTTTGTGAAAGGAATGCATCATCCTTATTACGGGCGACCTCAATACCAAGGAAGTAACGAAGTGGACCAAGATCCTTTGTATGGAAAGCTTGCGATAGTTGTTGCTTAATCTCTGCAATACCCTATGAGCCATTACCAGTGACGATAATGTCATCTATATACACCAATAGGACCACAATGCCTATATTCCCCTTTTTTGTGAAAAGGGAATGATCTGCCTTACTTCTAGAAAAGTCATAAGAGCAAACTACTTTTCCAAACTTTTCTAACACACCAAATTCTCCCCTTTCCGCTCAAAACCAGGTGGTTGTTGCAGGCATATAACCTCGGTCAAGTCTCCGTTAAGAAATGCATTCTTGATGTCCAATTGATGAAGTGGCCACGAGTGGTTGGATGCAATAGAGATAAGTAGTCGAATAGAGGTGAGCTTGGCAACAGGAGAAAATTTCTTAGTATAATCAACTCCATACTGCTGAGTATAGCCCTTGGCTACAAGGCGAGCTTTGAGTCGCTCAACTGTACCATTTGGATTGTACTTCACTGTGAATACCTAATGACACCTAATTGTTTTACCACCGAGAGGAAGACTAACTGCCAGGTATGATTCTTCCAAAGAGCTTGCATCTCATCTTCCATTGCTGCTTGCCAGCATGATGCTTAAGGGCCTCTTGAACATTATGAGGGATGAAAATGGAATCCAAGGAGGAGGTAAAGGCATGAAAGGAGCTGTTTAGTTTATAAGATGAAACAAGCTTTGCAATAGGATGGTGAGTGCAAGTGCGTTTTGCTTTACGAAGAACAATAGAAATATCAGCTGTGTCAGGAATATTACCAAGCAAAGAAGGTGATGTGTCTGAAGGAAGAACATGAACACTATCTTTGATAGTCTGATTGATGTTGCCTTTTTGTTTCCGTACATAAACCAGTAGTGGTTTCTCTGATGGAAAATCTGAACTCTCTACAATGGCCCTTGGTAAATCAAAAGTAGTCTGACCACAAAGAAGTTTTAAACCAAAGAAAGATTTATTTCCAAAAAAAGGACACATCAGCTGAAGAAAACATTTTCTTAGAATCGGGAGAACAGCAAAAATATCCTTTTGAGAATCTGGAATAACTGAGAAACACACACTTAATGGCTCTAGGATCTAATTTATCATTGCAGGGTCCTAGTACCTGAACAAAACATGTACAATAAAAAACACGTGAAGGAATAGGGAAGGTTTGGCACGGAAAAACAAGACTAAAAGGTGAGACATTGTTTATAACATGGCTCGACATATGATTGATTAAAAAACAATCGATGAGTACAACAAAACTCCAATAAAATTTCGAAACCTTCATTTCAAACATTACTGATCTAGCAGTATTAAGTAAGTGTTGGTTTTTATGCTATGCCACTCCATTTTGTTGTGGAGTGTAGGGACATGAAGTTTGATGAAGAATCCCATGTGTGGAGAAAAAAGTTAAAACTCATTGCTTATATATTCTTTAGTATTGTCAAAACGAAACTGTTTAATAGTAATACCAAATTGAGTTTTTATTTTCATAAAAAGTACAGTAAATACTTTAAACAGTTTAGAACGATCTTTTAATAGAAAAGGCCATGCCATTTGAGAAAAAATCATCAGTAAACGTAACAAAATGGCGATATTTATTAAAAGTAGGAAAGCTCACTGGCCTCCAAATATCAGAGTGAATTAAATCGAACAAATTTTCACTACGTTTATTGACGCGTTATGAGTATGAAATTCTACGATGTTTTCCCAACTCACAAGACTCATACAAGAGATTAAACTAGACTCACAATCAGGTACCAAGTGTCGAAGAGTAGTGGAGGAATGATGTCCCATACGTTGATGCTATAGTACAGGATCTGTAGAAGAACGAAAGGCAAAAATCGAGTCTAGACTATCCAAAAGAAATAGACCTTGTTGTTCACGATCGGCTCCAATCATCTTCCTCGTAATATCCTGAAAAACACAGTGAGGAGGGAAGAATGTCATTGAACAGTTTAAATCATTACAAATTTTATGAACAGATAATGGGCTATTATGAAAAGTAGGAAATCCATAATACAAATTTGAGAGATAGATTAGGTGTAAGAGTAATATTTCCTACTCCTTCAACAGGAACAACTGAACCATTAGCAACACGCATCTGAAAGTTATGAAGTGGAGAAAATGATGAAAGAGATAAAGGAGACATGTTTAGAAGCACCTGAATCAATAATCCATTGGTGAGATGAAACATGATAAGCATTACTTGATTGAATTGAGTTACCAGAGGGTTTTGTTATTAGCTGGCGCAAGGCTTGACGCTCTTTAGCAGAAAGCATAACTTGAGAGAAAGTCATCTTTGATGGTGCCATAGTAGATGTAGAGGAGTAATCCACAGAAGAAGACGGATGAACAACAGGCATCCTTCTGAGACGTCTCCAGCATGTCTCAAACTCATGATTTGTACCTTGACAATAGGTGCAATACTTGGTGTTATGTCGTCCATCACTATGGCCTTGACCATGATCACCACGACCCTGAGACGGGTAAAGAGGACGCCCATGAGTGGAGGGGAGCTGTTGTGGGTAATTTTTAGAGAAACTGTATCCCGACCAGATGCAAGAGCAGATGGAGTTTGAGAATCAAAGACAATTGGAGCCGGTTGAGTGACACAAGGAAGCCGAGTATGAAGCCGAGTATGAAGATCACGCAGGGAACAACTGTCATGTGTCGCCAAAATATAAGAGTGAACACCATCAAGATATGGACTGACGTTCCCAAGAGCAAGAACAAATAATAGGGCTTCTCACTGTTTTTGTTAGATAGCAGGATCCGGAGAGTACGACTAATCTTCCACTCTTCCAAATACTGAGTGAATTTGGAGAGATAAACATGTATGTCATCGCCTTGCTCGGTCTCAACAATCTCCCTTAATATATCATACAACTTATGCATGTTGTTAGCAGATAAGTACATCTGATGGAGAGTGTCCCAAATAGCCTTCGCGGTATCAAGAAAGACATAGATTGATAGACAAATTTATTCATAGAATTTGTCATCAAATTTATAATCAAGGCATCATCAAGATTCCATTTTGCAAACTTCTCAATGGAAGTTTTCGAGACGAGATTTTCATTATGCAAGGTGTGTAGTAGTTGCTCAAAGCACACTTTCAACTTGTCTTCACCATGACATAAGTAAAAAACTCTATCCGACATGTTCATTTTTAGATCTTTTAAAGCAGTAATCAATTCAAAGAACCTTTTAAAAGCTGGAACCAGTACAATAAATATTTTAATGATATTATTTTTACTTAATTGGAACTCAGTTGACTACTAACACTTCGAAAAGAGCTTTCACTTTATCATCTAGAACGAGCTTATCCTCTCTTAACATTTGTAGTCACAAGAAGTGTTGTTTGATGAGGGTTTTCTGGTTCTTTTTTGAGATCATGTGAATCCTCAGAATAAGAATTTTTCTTTCCAAGCATCTTCACCTTATCAACTTTTATGCTTGACATAAGATCAGCAACAGAACATTCTTTAGGTTTATCGTTTACCTCTTCTTGAAGCTTATCTCTCACTCTTTCATTTTCTGTACTAACCTGGATATAATCATAGTGCGATTTTTTCTCTCTATGGTTAAAACATGGAAAAAATCGACCTAAACATGTTCCAAACATGGAGGAAATCGACCTACTTCAGATGGTGCTCAACCTTCAACAGACAGTGAACGAGCAAGGAGAAACCTTAGAGGAGCAACGACAAATCCTAGAGTATTAGGGAAAAATGCTGATGAATCATGCCAAAGCGCTTGAGGAGCTTGATGAATCCTTGCCTAGATACAAATTTAGATCTACCAAAGAACGTCAGGCTGCTGCAAAAAATATGGACTTGAATCGGAGGTTAAAAAAACAATACTCAGGCTTCTGATCTGAAGCCTCCTCACCCTAAACGCACATCCTGTGGACTCCATCATTAGAGGAAAAAGTTGTGTCAGCACACATGTCCTTATTTAGATTATATGCCTTCTACACAAGGTTTTAAATATCGGTTATCGGGTATTTATCGGACGGTCAAAATCCTTATCGGATAGCGAAAATCGGGGATATATCGGGGATAAGTAGTATTTATCGGAGCAATATACTGGATGGTGTATATATATAATATAACAACTAAAAAATGTAATCTAACTATGCTTAATGAAATATAAACATACTAAAACAGAAAAGTAAAGTATGTACAGTTTATTCACTAATTTCTTATATAAGTCTCTGTTACAGGAAAAACAGAAAAGCAAAGTATGATAAAAGAATAGTTATAGAACTGATATTACTCAAAAGAGAAAGTGCGTGCGTGAAGGTATTACAAGAGAAGGAAAGCTCACAGCATGTGTATATAGCCATGTTTCCGGACAAAAAAAACATGGTTGACAAAGGGTAGGCGAGCGACGAAGTTCAAGGTTGAAGTTCACGAAGGCGAGTGACGAAGAGGCGCAGAGAACATGAGATAAAGATAACGGAGGAAGCACCCAACGAGAAAAGGAGCAGCCGTCAGAGACGAAGTTAGGGTTTGAAGGTCGGATTCATAAAGTTTCGGGTTTTAAGTTTCATATTATTAACAAAACGGGTTGGGTCGGGTTTTAAAAACTCAACAACTCAACTCAAAATGTCTGGCTGATAATCCCGATAATCCCGATAATTTAGCCTTACTTATCGGCCGATAAGTGCCGATAATGCCGATAACTCGCCGATAATCTCTCCAAAACGATAACCGATTACAAAACCAATTTATCCTAGCGGAGAGCTCAAAAATCCGATAACTCGGCCGATAATATCGATTATCGGCCGATATTTAAAACAATGCTTCTACAAAGTTAGATGTGAATAACAAACAAATACTGGATAAGTTAGCTGAAAAGTTTGAGACTCTTGCCTAAGTTTATAATGTATTTCATGAAATAAAAGAATTGAAGGACCAAGAAAAATTTGTTGATGATCCGATGGCACGCATGAAAATTAAGAAGGTGAGAGATAAGTCTCAAGAAGAGGTAAACGATAAACCTAAAGAAAGTTATGTTGATGATCATATGTCAAGCATAAAAATTGATAAGGCGAAAGATAGGCCTCAAGATAATGTGAAGGTGCTTACAAAGAAATTTTTTTATTCTGGAGATTTACATGATCTCAAAAAAAAAAAGAAGAAAATCTCATCAAACAACACTTTCTGTGCCTACGAATGTTAAGAGAGTATAAGCTCATACTTTCTATGCCTACGAATGTTAAGTGAGTATAAGCTCGTTCTAAATGATAAAATGAAAGCTCTTTTTGATGGGCTGAAGTAGTCAGTTGAGTTACAATTAAATGAAAATGATATCGTTGAAACATTTACTACGCTGGTTCTAGCTTTTAAAAGGTTCTTTGAATTGATTACTGCTACAAAAGATGTGAAAATGAGCCTGCAGAATAGAGTTTTTCACTTATGCGAAGACAAGTTAGAACTTAGAAGTGTGCTTTGAGCAACTATCCTAACAACAAACTTATTATCTTAATGATAAATCTGTAAAATATATTGATTCTCACAATCTCTGCAGTTCTTATCATAACTACTTTGACAATTTATTTTTGGATGAAATTCACATAATAGCAAATTATGATCAGCTGTATTCCGTGGAAACAACCAAAGCTGAGTTTTGCCCAATTGATTAACCAATCTTTCCTGAGAAAACTTTGTAGAAAAAAGACAATTGAAGCACTCCGAAGGGAGCGAGGGTGGCACCTAAAGTGGGGGAAATTTTTGACTAAATAAAAAGGCTAAGTTAATAAGTTTATGGTTTAAGCACCCAAAAAAAAACACTAAGGTTTGACTTTACCGTTTCATCTCTTCCTCTATCACTAACTTGAAGGCAATACATGTAATGTCATTGTCTCTTCTCTTCCCTCGTGGGGCTTGGGTCCTTGTGCCTTCAGTTTTTTTAACATCCCTATCTGGGGTTTGATATTTGAGCCATGACAGTTTACTACACTGTAATATATAAACCTTATTGAGCAGCAGCGATTGTTAGAATGGAAGTATTTATGGATTCATGCAGTCCAGTGAGGTAACCGGTTACGTTATTTATAGAAGCACTGAGAATATAAGCACCTTCCTTGAAAAGCTGTCAGGCTTCCAGTTGGAGCATTTTTTTCCCTTGAAGGAAACACAGAAAAACCAAAGGATAAGGGTGTGTCAAAGGTTGAACTAGTGTTTCTACATTGAGCTTGACCTTTTTAACATGTGTATGTTAATGGATTGAGTCCTTTTGGGCTAAGCTGAAATGAAAATTCATATTTAAAAGATGGTTAATGCTTCTTGCGGGCAACCGTGTGGCATGTTGCACATAAGAGAACAACTCGTGCTCATGCACATCTAGCCTGTTGGTCATCTCTTTACAACTGTTAGAATATAAAAATACAATGTTGTGGTGAGAGTTGAGGGTTATATTTTGTATTCTGGCAACAACCTTACTAGTAACAATAACAAAAGCTTGTCCTGATATAAGAAGGGGTGGATGATATCAGTCATATCAATTGTGTTATAATAAAATGTGAATTTTCTTATTGGTTGTACAGCTAAGGTTTTCAATTCAAGAATTAATTAAGGTTGTGGTCCAAATTTAAATTACTGAAAAACCAAAATTTTAAGTGGACTGATCAAACCATTAAGGGGCTGCAAGTCTTTGGAGGTATTTTTCTGTTTTGATTGCATGTGTTTATCAGACAGCTTCAGGGTGTGTGTGTTTGTGTTCTAATCTTCTCGATGTTTTTTCCTGAAGATGTTTGAAGTCTTATCCTACAAAAGTTATACTGGATGATAATCTGCTGGAAATGTAGCAGTTAATACAAATCTGTAAAATGTTGTTTTAGTGGAATTTTTATCCTTGGTGTAACATAAGTTTAAATCTTATGCATTTAACATTCTCATGTTGATCAACAGGGCAAGGAACTCCAATTCGACGTGGATTAGGGGCAATATCAATGGTAAAATGGTCACCGTCTGGAGACTATTTCTTGACTGCAAAATTGTAAGTTCCATTGCTAATGCTTCTGCTACCTTTGCTGAAGAGAAGATTATAATATAAAATTTCCATTATTTCAGTGATGGGACATTTTATCTTTGGGAGACAAACACATGGACATCAGAACCTTGGTCTTCCGCTGGTGGATGTGTCACTGTAAGTTATATACTCATATGTTGAAGCACATACAGTTTAATATAGAGTTTATGTGTGGAAACACAAACAGTTTATTATAGAATTCAGCGATACTTTTTTTTTTGTGCTTTGTTTTTACTCATGGAAGTTATTGACAGAAGTGCATATGGTGGCTTGAGAAAAATCATAGCTTTGGATGCTAGAGTAGATAAATATATTCTATTATGGAGTTGTTCTTTATTATATTCACTTGAAGTAACCATTTACTTCACTTAATACCTGAAGACTTTCTTGCTCAGTCTTATTGATAATCACCTGGGATCTAAATCACTTGTTATCTGAAACCTTTCTTTTGTGAGTATATCGATCTCAGTCATAAGTCGAGATCTGATTTACTTGACGTCTGAAAACTTTCTTTTTTGAGTATTATCAAACTCATTGATACTAATATAAGTACATTATTGTTTCTGCTTATCAGGGGGCTACATGGGATCCAGAAGGGCGTATGATTCTGCTTGCATTTTCAGATTCAGTAACATTAGGTTCAATCCACTTCTCGTCAAGGTTCCCTTCATTAGGTTAATCCCTACTTCTATACTTCAATGACCTTCTCTATGCTGGAGTTTATGGAATGTTAATTATGCTCTACAACTGGCTATTTATGAGTGAAAGCTTGGATTATGGTGAACCAGAAATTATGCTTTCTTGGATTTAGATCTATTCACTTTCTGCACTGGACCTCTTTGACAACTATTCACTCAAATGTTTGTTTTGTTTCTCAGAGCATTTTTAGGTTTTGCTCCCTCCCTCTCTCCCTACTCAAACATTTATCGTGTTTCTCAGCTCATTTTTAGTGTTTGCTCACTCCCTCCCGTTTGTATTCACAGACATACCAATTTTATCTTTGCGTAATTTGTTTACTTCCCGAGTTGTTTTCACCAAACACGAGATTAGTATTGTTCTCATTCACATGTTATCACATGTTATGAGAACTAGAATTCCTGTAACTTTTTCATGTTTCTTTTATTAAACAAATTACAAATTGGAAAAGTGCTTGTTTATTAACTAGCTATAGAGACAACCTCTCAAATCATACTTCTAAACTGGGTATGGTTAAACGAACTCAACCTGTGTGTAATGAATTTCAAGACGTATGTTAAGGTATGGTATACGTCCAAGAAATGTATGACAGTGTTTTAAACCAAAACATGTATAATGTAATTGAGTACACGTCTGAATGAATGTATGCATAGATTATATATGCATAAATTCAAGAGTGTCCAAGGAGTGTTGGACACGAGCACGGAAAGGGTCAGACACGGGTACAGGAGCCCAGATGAGGTCGGGGTAGCTTAGGAAGTGATGTATTTGTATGATATGTGGTGGGTACTTTATTAATTGCTATATCATTTTGCCTCATTTAATACTTAGTTTCTCGATATCTTCATCTTGTCCTAATTCCAATTTCTTCTATAAGAAGATGTAGCTCTGATATCAACATAGTCTATCTACTTCCAAGTTCTAACTAATGCTTATATTGGTCACACATGAATACATGATTGCTTACGGGTTTAGACACATATTTCTACTTTAATCCATACAGTACATTGTTTACACAATTGCGAAGTCATCTGTACCTTTCTTGTGTTTTTGCTGTTCATGATTGCATTTACTATGCTTCTCTCCTTCTTTATATAAGAACATTGTTAAACCTTTTTTGAGTAACAGGGCATAGTTTTGTATCTTTTTTTGTTTTTGAGTAACATGGCATAGTTAAACCTTTTTCGAGTAGCAGGGCATAGTTTTTTATCTTTTTTGTTTTTTACTTCTTTGAATTCAGTTAGCTGCAAGAAACCAACAATTGGGTTCAGATAGGTCTTATTTCTTAAACTAACATGCATCCTGATATAACATACTTATTCTGGTCTAACTGGTTAATGTAAAATGTATACTGTGTTTGCATATCTGTGACTGATATATTTCTACAACCTTAATGACTGCGCTTTGTGTAATCTTCAAAAGTTCTATTATCTACCTTTATGGTTTTTGTGCAAAATTCAGGTAGAATCTGTCACAATACATTGTGAAATGCTGGAAATACTAAGATATTGTGTTACAAAGATAATGGTAAAATTACGGTACAACAATTTCACAAAAATAGCTGTAACTTGGTGGTGCCTCCATTTTTTGGCAGTGAGTGAGATGCATAAACCCTTCATATATGCCATCTTGCGACTTGCTATCTTAAGATCTGTTCTATTCTCATTTTTTAATCAATCTAAGATGCATAGACTTTATTACTTGTCAGTTGCCTGATTACTTATCCTTCATGTGTGATGGAAAACTTAGATGCACATCTATTGCCAGTGGAGCTGCCAGAAATTGCCTCTTCGACTGGCAGGTACTACAACTTATTCAGATTTTATGTTTTAAGCTTGAAATAATTTATTTTTCTATTAAGCATTCAGTAGTTTCCTGAAGCTGAACAAGTAACCATTTCCAACATTGTGCTATCTGTTATGCAAATAAGATTTAGTATAACACACTAACCTGCTTTTAATTTGAGGCAAAGAGTTTGGTGAAAACAACTCGGTTTATGTTTTTGCTGAAGCAAAGCGCTTTTTTTTGGGTACTTAACAGTCTAGACTCAACTAGAGCATCACTATTGTTAGTTCATTCAGCAAAGAACTGAAGGGCTTCGTTTGATTTTTGTTTACTTTAATCTCAGATGAAATTCATTAAACAGAATCAGTAAGGTGGCTTGTAAAAACTGAACGACTGAAAGGTTTTGATGACTTAACCTAGAAGCTTAAGCTTATGTCTTAACCCAGAAGCTTAAGTTCATGCCAATAATTATTTTATACCCAACGCCTAATGTCCCCTTCTGTTGAAGATTTCACATTTTTTTGCCTTTGGATGACAGCTCATGCAAGGAGATTCATGAATATATACAGTGGAATCAGAATCCAAGACCTTCTGCCCTGAGTTGATATCATGTAAATACCAATTTACCAAAAGGATTACTGGACCAGTAATTTTTATACGACAACAGCTAGGGTTTGGTAGACAGTGAAAGCCAACACTAATCTCCGAGGTGGAGAATATTTGAGACTAGGAGGATTTAACTTTATTGCTTTGGATATTTCCTGTACCCAAATTTCCATGTCAACCATTTCCTTGCATGTCAGCAATGATCTTCAACTTGATTCTGTCACTCATTACTTCTCTGTTCACCACTAGGTTTTGTATTATGAACACTAGACCAGAGGCAGTGAGAAGGACTATCTAAATGGATAAATGAGTTATCACCTTCTTCCTGCTTTCGTGTATTTTGATCCAGGCGTTTTCTGAAGATATATGGGATGGGTTATACCCTGGATCGACCCTTGTGATTAATGTCATACTCTGAACTGATACCTAGAGATTCAATTTGTTGTCAATATTAACCCCTATCCTTTTGCACCTGTATTTGGCAATTGAGGATGATGAAATTCTTCTTGGAGCCCTAGGAGAGTGGAAGAACAGGTTACCGCCCTCTTTTCCCCATGATGACAATTTTTGATATTTTCTATTTCTCTAAGTTATATTTGTTCTGGCTTCTTTCTTCGGAGTAGTATTCTAAGTTTTGTGCCAGACATCCTATGCAATCTGACAATATAAAATTGCATTGCTGGTGGTATGTCAAGACTTCAATACCGTCCTCTTGTTTACAATTCCTCTAAAATCAACAATGAATTTCAGTAATGAGTTGGGCATTCTGGAACAAAACCATAATGCTACAAACTTTTAGAAATATTATGAAATGAAATATCAGAATACTGCTTGTGGAAGTCCTAAAGGTCTGTTCATGAGGAATGCATCCTTTTTTCTAAACCAGCACAAAATGGTTTTCAAACAAAGGGGATTTGGGTTGGGGTCGGTGGTTGTGGGGGATACTGGAAAGATCTTTGGAGGAGGCATATCTTATGTGCAGGATGAAGATAACAGTTCCATTCAATAAGAGTCTTGAGTACACAGTTGTGATTGTCTTGGTGGACATTGCAGCATAAGGATCTCTCCCTCTAGTGCAAACATGGCATATAGAATCCATCTAATACTCAGACAAATACCCACAGATTCAAGTACTACATATATACGCACGAATGAAGATTTGCATATATCTGTGTAGGCATACGCTTTGCAGTTATTATATAGGCACAGTTTTAAGGAAAGCATCTCATGTTGTTATTGTTGTGTTCCTCAGTCATGGAATTGAGAAAATAGCGTGGGATTCTTCAGGAGAGCGTCTGGCATTGTCATACAGAGGCGGTGGTGATATTTATTGCGGTCTCATTGCAGTATATGATGTCAAAAGGACCACTCTTGTCTCATTATCATTAGTGTTAGTTACTCTGTGAATTGGTTATTTTGTTTTTACTTCAACATCAAAATATTATTACGAGCTGTCCATTAACTTATTTATGTTTTTCTTAAATCTAGGGGGTTCATTAGAGGGCCTGGAGAGAAACCGAAACCAATGGCATTTGCTTTCCACAACAAATTCAAGCAAGGGCCATTGTTATCTGTGGTAAGAACTGATAATTAATATACTTTTATTCTTAGAATTGTTTCTGTGAAGGCATGTAGATGTGAATTAGAGAGGCCTTTGAATTACATTTTGGGTCCTAATGCAGTGTTGGAGCAGTGGATTCTGTTGTACATATCCCCTCATATTTCGGTCACATATACTTCCTTAAGGTAAATATGTGCCTTCTAATGCTCAAGAGTTTCATCGCTCAGAAAATGTTGTCATTCATCTGTAATATTGCAATTACTTGTTCCTGCTTTTGTAGAGTGCATCGGAATTTTAGTTAAAATCATACCCCATGTTACATTATCTTTTTCTGTGTGCAAATTGCAGGTACATATTCTGACTTTCTGATTGGAAAATTTCCGTGGTTGAAAAAATCAGCGTTTTAACAGGTACATGACATTCCTGTTGCAATTAAAGCAACTTATGTTGTTGTATTGAATATTTTTAAAAATGGCTCCAGACCCTATCTGCTCCCTAAACTACTAACTTTGTCCCTTCTTACCCCGAACTATTTTTAGTCCCTATGTAACCCTTAAAAACATTGAATTCGTCTCCTACTTACTCGCTTAACTATTTTCCGTCCTACCTTGCCCCCTAAACTATTAAATATGTTCCTGGTTACGCCTTGAACTATCACATTCAGTACCTGGTTACCACGTTTTGTTTATTATTTTGTGGATGTTTAAATGGATTTATGAGAGGAGAGTGATAGTTCAGGGGCTAAGGTGAGACTGAAACTAGTTAAGAGGTAAGCAGGGAAGAAATTAATAGTTTAGGGGGCATTGTAGAATAAAAATAGTATATGGGGTAAGAAAGGCCAATTTTGAAAGACACTATTACCAGTCAAAACAGAAAGCCTTAGTTCAGGAGTAATAGTTAATTAACTCATCAAATAGCAGGGTTCTTTGATGTCACAAGAATTTCTCAGGATGCTTGCGTTTTTGCAGAATTTGCCGTGAGGCTTGCTTTTGTGTGTAGAAAACGGTTTTGGAGATGGAAAAAAAAAACAAAAAGGACGACAAAGGTGAGAGCCTAAAATTGAAGAATTGGGACCTACTTAATGTATCAAGAAAGATGAAATGAAGCCTTCCTTCGATGGTGAAATTATATGCTATCTGCAGATCAAAAGGCCGTCTTTATTTGATATTTAACATTCTCAGCATCCAAATACAATGCCTATTTTGGCGTAATACTTGTAATTTGAGAATCAAATTGAATTGTATGATGGCACAACTATACAGCAGTTTCTGATTGGGTTATTGGCGACTCATTAAAATTATGTTGCCTTGTCTTATTTCTGGGAAAGTGATTCACATAGTTTACAACAAGTATTCTTAATGTTTATCCGTAACAGAGAAATAAGATCTTGACACGGGATTTTTTTCCTTGGGGAAGTTATTACGCTTTGCATTTCCTTGTGTTGTGAGAATGAGATCATTACAGTTCAAATCGACCTAACATGACCGAAATTATATCTTTCAATTAATAAAAGTTATGGGTTTGATTTTCACTATCTGAAATTGTTATCTCGATATGCTGTCCACTCAATAGTATGTTTAAGTTGGAAAAAAAAAGAAAAGTCAATTATTGGGCAGTGTATATGCCAAAACAAAACTAGAAAGATAGTAAGTTATAAAAATAGACCATCTGAGGGCCGAATAAAAAATGTCTCTTAGGGGGGTCTATCTACAAACATTGAGGATGAGGAAAAAAAAAAAAAACAACAGCAGGAGAGGGACTGAGGGAGGGGGCAAAACGTAATTTTAGAGATAGTATTAGCCTCAGCCTATCCAGTAGCATAACAAAAGGATAGCCAACGACGATCCTCTCTCAATTGATGGGAAGCTAATAATAACTATGGCCCTCCTTATCTCTCACCTCTCTCTCCTCCCCTCTTCATCTTCTTCTCATTCTCCCTCCATTCCCGTTGCTGCAGCCTCAGCTACTCTCTGTAAGTGCTCCTCCTCCCCATCTCCTCGCCCTTGTTTACAATTTCTATGAACTGGGTTTTTTTTTTAATTCTTCAGAAATATACACCGTATTTTCATGGGACTACAAATTGTATTTGGGTTTTTATTCTTCCCCAGATGAATCCTATAGCAATGTTTCTCTTAATTGGGTTTTTCTTTCAGGCATTAATACAAACATAATATGTTCAATCAATTTCTGTCAGGCAACAACATCATTTACAATTCTCAATAGTTTCATCTGGGTAGTTTTGTTAAACCTTTTTTCTTACCAGCTTGTAACTCTTACTTCAATTTCAGCTTTAAATATTTCACAAGAAATCCCCATCACGACTTGGGTCCTTTCATGGAACTAGGATTCTGTCCAACTTATGGACTTTACAATTGCAAATTTTATTTAATTCTTTAATACTCTCTTGGGTAATCCTTCAGGTTATGCTGTATGGCTGTGGAAATACAATATTTCATTTGGGTTTTCTTGTATCCAATATTACCTCTCCAGTCCTCAGTTTTCTTTCTAGCATTACTACAAACACACAACGTTCGATCAGTTTCTCCCATTTAACATCAGAATCCAAAATGCTCGATTTCATCTGGATACTCTTTCTTTTTTAATTTCAGCTTCTAAGTTATCACGAAAAAGCTTCAACTTGCGATTTGGGTCCTCTCACGGACCTAGAATTCCCTGTCCAACCTATGACATTAGTGGGAAAAGGTCTGTAATTGTCCGAGCTTCATCAGAAATCGACGGAAAAGATGAAAAGAAACCAGACCCTTTGCCGCCTTCACAAGTATCAGAGGAAGAGGCTAATATGCCAGTTGAGAATCTTCCACTGGAATCGAAGATGAAGGAGAGGATGGAGCAGAAGCTGAGGATGAAGCTGGCCAAGAAAATAAGACTCCGAAGAAAGCGGCTTTTGAGGAAGAGGAAGATGAGGAAGAAGGGAAGATGGCCTCCTTCCAAGATGAAGAAGCTCAAGAATGTCTGATCAAATTGCCAGGTTTAAAATTGTTTTTGTTTATGCATTTCGAATCATTTTGTATGTTGGTTCTTCAATGATATTGGTACTTGAGTTGTGTAATGTTCGATTTAGAGATTGATTGGTTTGGAAATCACATTTCTAAATGAGATGGTATTTTCGATTAAATTTGTTTTTTAGCTCATCTTGGAGTACAGCTCCATTGGCTTCTTCAAAATTGATCAGTTTATTGCTAATGCTTATCATTCATGTCCTTGTTCAAACTTAAAAAAACATTCGTCCATTAGTATTATTTTGTAGAAACTGTTCAAATTGTAGTCCTGATGCCTAATGAGATATTTGAGATATCTTAGTATTATTCTCCTTTCTTTTTTCCTTCTAATAAGACTGTTTTGGTGTATTCCTACTGTAAATTGCCTACTTTGCTAGTCTCATAATAAGGCATTCGCTTGTGATCAAGTTCAGAGCTTAGGTGCTTTTGATCGACTTAAGGCCCATCCTCATCATTCATTAGTATATTAGCCTGGTACTTATAAATGTATTTGTAGGATTACAATCTACTCTACTTGTTTATTGCAATCTTATACCTAAGACATCTTTAACTGATATTTGAGATGTCCTATTTGATTCCATTGCATTCATAATACGGAGGAAGGTCATTGCTATGTAGCTTCATTCATATATTCACTTGAGATTTCCTCTCCTGGAAGAATTTTCTCGACTGGTGGACTTAAATCTTAGCGCAAACAGATATTAAAGAATGAAATAACCATAAATTGCGTTACCTTCTCACTATGCCTTAACCAAAGACATGTCCTCGTTTTACATTTCAAGTGCTTTTGAAGTTCATGAAGCTATAAACAAGATCTATTCTCTATTCAATCTAATTTAGCAATTGACCTAGTTATAATTTCTGTGTCATATCATCACTGATCCTCCTACTTAATAGATAGAAAGTCCTCCTAACCCTTTAAATCTCAGGATGGGTTAGAAGATTATCACAGAATATCGGTCAACGATGATTATACTAATATACTCTACCTTATAAATTATATGATCATTGATCTGACAAACTTGATGAATTGATGAATTTTTCGCCAGCTTTTGGAAAATAATATACTTGGTAAGGAATTTGTACGAAAAAAGTTTGCGAATGAACAAAAGGTTACTGAGGTTGCAGATAGAGGTGATGTCATGTGTATATTGTTTTTCCCCCCTGGACAAGAATCAAAATATTGATATTATCTTAATATTTAACTTGCTATCGAGTGTTGATAAAAAAATGATTCAGGTCATAATTGAGTACTACTGAAGTTTGAATGATTCCAACTTTCCATGTGAATGTATAAGCTCAAAATTATTTGCTCGATTAGAACTAGAACTGTGCACATGAATATAAGTTTCCATGAAGACACAGATTCAAGCTTAAATGGATAGCTACACACATTCTAGATTAAGTAGACGGTCTGCTGTCCCTTATTTTTGATTCTGGCATTAAGATTTATAAGTGAATTAAATCAACCCTTAAATCCTGGTTTTTACGTATCATTTGTGGTAATAGTTCCTTCAAATTCGTACTAGGATTAGATGACTGCTTAATGAGAACACGCACATGAAAAACAACTACATTCTTTTATTATTAGTTCAAGGATTTTCTTTACCACTTGGAGTTTAGATCCTTCTTATTGTAGCTGATGGAGAGGTCACTTCCTTGATCATACAAGTATGCTACTCTGTTGATAATAGTGTATTGTAGTGGGTTTTACTCCCACATTGCTTGGGAGAACAAACCTTACACTCCTCTACTTGTATAAATATGTGTATACTCAATATTCAATTCAAGGGAAATTTACCCAAGATTCTCTCTCCCTTACTTTAACATGGTATCAGAGCTAGAGTTATTTCCCTTCCAATAAATTTTTTTAACGCTTCTGCGTTCTTTTGCCAAATCTTCGCCTTGTTGCTTTGCAGCCGTTTAATATTTTTTCTTTCTTTTATCTGTCAGATATTTTGGCCTTGTCGCTTTGCGGTCTCTTAACGCGTTTCACGTTCTCGTTTAACATTCGGGTTTCATTCTAACCTTCGGGTTCTATTTTAACGGCATTACCGTTTCTAGACCGTCTCTCGGTCTCAAATTAACGGCATCGTCGTTTCAAGCCGTCTCTCGGCCTCAAACGAATGGCATTGTCGTTTCGTAGTTAGTAACGGCATCTCGACATCTTAACGTCTCAACATTGCTGTTATGGCTCCTTCAGAGAAGATTCCCAAACCACCTTTGCCCCTCAATGATCAAAGTGACTAGGTAGGGTGGTCCACCATTGTCACTAATGCCTTGCGTGGCGCTGGTTTGCTTGATCATCTCACCAGTACGGGACCAGTTCCACCGTCCATCAGCACTGTTGCTTCATCCAGTACTATTGCCTATGGCAGTGGTAATGTCGATCTTCAGACTGCTCGTGCTCTCTATGTCAAGGAGAGTTCAGAGTGGCAATTGCAGGAATTTCGTGTCATGGATTATCTCACTCGCTGTGTTAGCTCTGGTCTCACTGTCGAGATTGGCTCGCTTCCCTCTGCTCGGGCCATGTGGACTCGTCTCACTGAGCGTTTCACTGAGTGCTCGGGTGCACGGGAGGCATATCTTCTGCAACGCATTGCTCTACAACGCAAAGGTAGTTCATCTCTGCAGTCCCATTTTGGACAAATGCAAGCTTTTTGGACAGAGTTACGCTCCATGCTTCCTGGACATAATTCCACATATGAAGACTGGCTAGCCTGGTACAAACGGCATGAGGTGCATCAACTGTTTCAGTCTCTTCCTGAATATTCAACTATAGCTGATCAACTACTTCATCAGCCTCAATTTCCGACTTTGGCCTCAGTTATGGGAGCTCTCACTGCTTATGAGACCCCGCAGCAGACAGCACGACTCAATTTGTCAACAGACACTCCTACCTCTTCACTCGAGACTGTTTTGTCTGTACCTGTCACTGCTCCTGTTATGAATTATACTTCTCCACAGGCTCCCTCTCCACAGGCTCGATCTAAGCTCTCTTGCAAATATTGTAAGAAGGAAGGACACCGCATTGAGACATGCTTCAAGCTTCATCCTGAGTTACGTTCCTCAGGTACTGGACGTGGTCGGCGACCCCCTCAGTCTCAACCCTCTCGTACACCAGGATTGTTGGCCAATGCTATACCTTCTACTACTTCAGACTCTACTATTCAAGCTATTGAAAGTCTTCGCCGTCAACTTGATGCTTTCCAACATATCACCTCTACATCCGCCGCACAACTCTCTGGTATGCATTTTGCTGGTTCTTCAACTAATCCTTCGGTCTCTGGTATGAATGATCTCTGGATTTTTGACTCTGGCTGTTCCTCTCATGACTTGTAATGCCTCACTTTTATCCTCTGTCTTTACTCCATCCTCTCTTCCTCCTATCTACACAGCTGCTGGACAACCATTGTCCATTACTCAGTATGGCTCTATTACCCCACAAAATGATCCATCTGGTCGTCTAACACTTGGTCCCGTCTATGTGGCTCCTCAGTTGTGTTTGAATTTAATTTCTATTAGCTCTTTATGCATGGCGGGCTTGTTTGTCTCATTTTCTTCTGATACTTGTATTGTGCAGGATCCACAGACAGGCAAGACGGTTGGGGCGGGTCGTAAGAGGCACAAACTGTATTTTCTGGAATATCTTCACCTTCCAGAGTCCATACGTCCACGTTCTCTTGTTGCTTCTCTTCGTTCGTCAAAACCCTCTACCTCGCTTCCTGCCAATTTATGACATAGACGACTTGGTCATGTGTCTAATAAAAGACTGGAGAGTCTTATTCAGTCTGGAGTACTTGGTCCTGTATCATCTAGTTCTAGTATTGAGTCATGTACTGGTTGCAAATTGGTAAAATTCACTGCTTTACCATTTAAAATGAGTACATCTGTATCCATTTCCTTATTTGATTTAGTACATTCTGATATTTGGGGGCCAGCTCCTTTGCCTTCTTCATCTGGCTACGTATATTATGTTAGCTTTATCGACGGTTTCTCTCGTTTTACATGGGTTTACCTACTTAAGAATCGCTCTGACGTACTTACTGCTTATCAAGCCTTCACTGCTATGATTTTTACTCAATGGCAATCTCGTATTAAAGTTTTTCGTTCTGATTGTGCCAAAGAGTACCTATCCTCTACCATGCGCTCTATCATGTCCTCTCATGGGACTATCTTTCAACAGTCATGTCCCTACACTCATGACCAAGTGTTTTCGCGATATCGTGCTCAAAGCGGGCTTTATAGAAAGTCATCAAGATGCTTCTCTGTTTGTTTGCACTACATTGTGCGGCAGAGTTTTATTACTCATCTATGTAGATGATATGATCATTACAGGTGATGATATGACATGTATACAATACGCAAAATCTCAGTTGCAACAACAGTTCCACTTGAAGGATCTTGGATCTCTTCGGTATTTTTTTGGTCTAGAAATTTCTCAAGGTCCGCGGGGTGTATTACTGTCTCAACAGAAGTATCTCTCAGATATTCTAAATCAAGCTGAGCTAACTGATAATGCAACTGTCGATACTCCACTCCAGCAGAATGTTAAACTTTGCTCTACTGACGGTGAGCCTCTATCTGATCCTACCCGATATCGACATCTTGTTGGCCAGTTGGTCTATTTGTGCATCTCTCGACCAGATATCTCTCATGCTGTTGGTATTGTCAGTCAATTTGTTAGTGCTTCACGTTCTGTACACTATGCTGTCTTATTACGAATTCTTCGGTACCTCCGGGGTACTAGCACTCACTCTCTTTTGTTTCCTGCTACATCTAAGTTAGAACTTTGTGCATATTCTGATGCTGATTGGGCTGGTGATCCAACTACTAGAAAGTCTACCACAGGTTATTGTATATTTCTTGGTGATTCCCTTATTTCCTGGCGAAGTAAGAAACAAGATGTTATTGCTCTTTCCAGTACTGAGGCAGAGTATCGTGCAATGTCCACAACAGCTAAAGAGATTATTCATCTTCGTCGCCTTCTCAGTGATTTCGGTATTTCTGTTACGACTCCTACTCCTCTCTACTGTGATAATAAGAGTGCCATCCAGATTGCTAATAATCCAGTATTTCATGAAAGGACCAAACATATTGAGATCGACGCTCATTTTGTCCGTCACCAAGTTATCAAGGACAAGACAATTCTACTTCCTCATGTTTCATCCGCTGACGAGCTTGCAGATTTCTTCACAAAGGCCTTACCTGTTCATCGGTTCCAGTTTCTTGTACGCAAACTCACTTTGTTTGATCCAACATGAGTTTGAAGGGGGCTGTTGATAATAGTGTATTGTAGTGGGTTTTAGTCCCATATTGCTTGGGAGAACAAACCTCACACTCCTCTACTTGTATAAATATATGTGCATACTCAATATTCAATTCAAGGGAAATTTACCCAAGATTCTCTCTCTCTTACTTTAACATACTCAATACAAAACTACACTCTTTTCTAGAGTTAGAAAGGTGATCAATTAGGGGTCGTTTGGTTGGTTTCCTAAAAACCAAGAAAAGGAAATCGGTACAAGGAAACCAATAAAATAATATTTTTATCCATTTTCATCCCTAAAACTCACCCACAATATCCAATAAAATAATATTTTTATCCTCCAACTCATCTCATTTCTTACCTTTAAAAATAAACCAAACATAAGAAATGTGTCACATCATCCAACTCATCACATCTCATCTTATCTCATTTTTAAAAATCACACACACCATCCAAAAATATCGTGATTTACTATCCTAGAAGATAGAGGACTCGCATTTCGCCCTGGCGCAGTCGATCCTCTCCTCTAGCGATAAAAGCTCCTGGAAACGACCGACCTCTGTACTCGGACGCGAGTAGTAAAGCTTCTGCTCAGATGAAGATGGTCGCCCAAAAATGTAACAATTATAATATCAGAGAAATTTTTACAGGATGAGAGAGGATTAGAGGATTCTTCTTGTTTTCTGTATCTTCTCCGAATGAGCTTTAGCTCTTTATATAGCCTCTCGAACTGATAACCGATGCTGACCGTTACAAGCTTGTGTAAAACGTGCAAAAAATAAAACTTGAGAGGCAAAAAACTCGTGCGAGTGCAGTGCGGCGGGCCGAGGCGTGCGTGCACGTGTGGAGCAACAGCACAAACAATACTAGGCCCAAAACACTAACTCAAAGCCCATTGAGATGTGAACCATTATAAACTTCTTGAACTTTTTCTCATTTTTCGATGTGGGATTATTCACAAAGGCAAAATTGTCTTTTTATGAACCAAAAGTCCAACAACATCTACCACCCACTGCCTCATCGTAGTTATGGCACCAAATCTAGTGTTTGAAGTACTTCTCAATAACTATCAAGGCAGAGCCTCTTTTATTCTAGCTTCTAATAAAGCAAAAAACAAAAATTGCCTTTATTAATAAACTGACTCACTAACTTATGCTTAAGGGGTTTATTCAAATCCCTAGCATTCCAAAACCTCACATCCATGATATATTAGAGGAACATTATCATTCGCATGCATAGTAGTGCCCAATAAGTCTTCCTTCTGCCCAATGTCATCTTGAATTTAAAAAGAAAAAAGAAAAAAAAGGCAAAAGAATCATTATGCACAATAATAGGCTCAACTTATACTAGCATTACTCCCATCCCTCCTAATACCGGCATGAGAAGTAAAAGAACTATTACCTTTAGCAAGCAAGCCAGCTTTAACTGAAGAAACCAGTGAGGTACTAGCAAACTAGACTATCAACATGAATAGGAGAACCCACACCAACATGATACGAAGAAACCCCTGTAGTGTCAATATGAACCACTCTAGCGTTAACAACAGGAATAGGACAAACCCCATCAACATGAACTGAAGAAACTCATCAGCATTAACATGCTGAGAGGTTGAAGGATCAACAGCAAAAGGAACAATATTTGAGGCGCGAGTTTGCTTTTTGGGGACCCATTGCATTTTCATCTTCTTCCTACCACATTTATCTTCTTCATTCCCCAATTTACGACAATGGCCAGTCATTTTGTTCAACAGTTTTTGTTGCTTTTTTAACTGCCAGCGATTCTAAGCAATGATGATCAGTATCGAGCTTAACATTTTACATGCTTACAACACAACCTCTTCTTTCAATATACCAAGTCTGACAACACATTTTCAAACCCTATATAAATAATTGCATCTTTCAATGCACCAAGTCTGACAACACATTTTCCATGCTTACAACACAACTTTTATTTCTAACTATTTAACCCTTCTGTTATATTTGTATGTTTGTATCTCCTTGATTGCTCTACATCGAAGATATAAGAGATGGTGACGCAAGCGATAGATCAAACGAAGTAAAGGAATGTGGAGAAAGCACGACGTTCATCAAAGGACTTGCATTTTGGAGCGTACTATGAATTGGCACCACCCTGCATGAATGATTATTGAATTAGGTTGATGTTGCTTCCATCTTATGTCAGGGTAAAACCTTGGTACCTCATGAATCACTACCAACGTCTAAAGTCTAGAAGTTTCAATCTTTCTATATGAATAAGGCTCAGTTATTCAACTTCTACATACCTACACAAAAAAGATGCCAACTTTTATTACACAATTCATCAAATCCAAACAAAAAGAGGAAGACTTGTTGCCTCTTTCCACTAAACGAGCAATACCCACTTCACAATTCCTCTCTTTAGCTTCTCTAACAACATCGTCGAATTCTTCCCAAGCTTCCCTCCTCCATTGCTCCGCCCCTTCAGAACCCCAAGAACCCCTTCATTCATCGCCTCAAGAAACCCCTGAGGTACCAGCAAATCTACAGAATCAACAAGGATAGGAGAACCCCGCCATCAACATGATCTGAACTCTGAAGAAGTCCACCGGCATTGACCTACCGAGAGGTTGCAGATCAGCAGCAAAAAGGAGCAATATTTGAGGCTGGAACTGGCTTTCTAGGGACCCATTGCATTTTCATCTTCTTCCCACCACATTTTATCTTCTTCATGCCCCAATTTATGACGATGCTCACACTCATTTTGTTCTACAATTTTTATCCATTTTTTTTACTGCCAGCAATTCTAAGCAGTGATGATCATTATCCAGCTTAACATGTTTTACAATAACCTCAATATATAAGCGTGTTCATTTTCAAGCCAAGTTACTCTTTAGCATAATTCTAGCTCATCTTCTATCTGTCATCACTTCTAAGCAATAATTGTTCATCCTGGTGCTGCTCGTGATTTACAGCAACACGTGATTTACAGCGAAAGTCGATATGCTATTAGCCCACAACAAAAACGACAACAAAGAATCTTATCCCAAACTTTTCTGTTATTGGATGATATCCTCCATAATTGCTTCTAGATGAGTCAATCCGTTGTTCTCCTTACTGCATTATTTATAATTTTATTCGTCCTACATAGTACACTTTATACATTTACTGGTCTCCTTATCTAGAAATTGTTTTTGCTGCATGAACATACATCCTCAAGCACATGATAAGGATGTAAGTTTTGCAGATCACAGTAACACAGGGAAAGAAAAGCAGAAACACAATGTACTAAATTTCTCTTTATTCATTATTATCGTATATTCAAACCCAATATAAATAACTGGATCTTTCAATACACCAAGCTGTAAACATATTTTCCATACTTACAACACAACCTCTTCTTTTCTTTCTAACCATTTAACCCTTCTATTCTATTTGTATATTCGTATCTTCTTGATTGCTCTACATTGAAGATATAAGAGATGGCGACGCAAGCGATAGATCAAATGAAGTAAAGGAATGTGGAGAAAGCACGACGTTCATCAAAGGACCTGCATTTTGTAGCGTACTCTGAATTGGCACGACCTGCGTGAATGGATATTGGATTAGATTTATGATGCTTCCATCTTATGTTAGGGTAGAACCTTGAGTATCTCTTTCATTCATTTGCTTTTAATGGAGTAACGTAACCTACTTATATTTGGTCATTTCTTTGTTTCAAGTTTCATGAAATTTCAGAAGCATAGATAATGCAGGCAAAAAGTTTTCAACTTTTCTAACTTTTTCATGCATCTTTGTACCTTATTATCTGCAGTAATTATTTTTACCTTATTTGGTTCTTGGAAGGAATTCTCGTCCATTACATTACTAGATGTAAGAATAGTCATCTTTGATCCCGATGAGTTGACAGTATTTTGCAAACCAGAAACAGAGAACATCAGGTTTACAGGCTCATTGTCAAAGTTCACAACCTGCACAAAGGGGATAAATAGAAGAAAGATCATCAAAAAAAGTAAAAATAGAGTAAATTGAAATCATAGCAAGCACCAGGTCAATTTGTAGAAGCAAACAACAGTTTTCAAAGTCAAAAACAAAATAAGAGAAATAGAATAACAATCAATTGATAGCTGGCCAATTTTTGCATGTTAAACCAAAATAAAATATGCTAAAAAAAGTATATTATGCTCTTGGAATATAATGATTGCAATCTTAGTGCAGGTTTACATGTTTAGAATTTACTAATGACAGAGAAATAGATGATTATTTTCAAAAAATAAAGGGAGGGATCATAAAGGTCGAGAGTGTTGGTGAATTTCATTTGTATTTGTTTAGCAACCTCATCTGTTAATATTTCAAACTGAATACACATTCATATATATAACCTCAAAATTATAACTATCGGTACTGAAACTAAGAAGCAATAAGGAAAACAATTTAACAGGAAAAATGTTTTAGTGAAGAAAGAATACTATAAAATAGCTTAGTTTTTAACTAATGTCAGGAATATTTCTATATATGTGCCAATAAGACCGACAACTACCATGCAAAAGGATACATTGTTAAAGCATGATATAAACAACTATAAAAAGTAAAGAGATTACAATCAGAACTTACCTTTATTTGTAAGTATTCGCTGTTATCTTCTGAACTTCGGCAAATAATTGCCGATGCAACCACATGAACTGATGAATTAGCTTGAATAGTGGCTGGAAGAAGGGTTGCTCCACTTGATTCCTTAAAGAAATGTTGCATCCAGTAGCTAGGAGTTCCATATTGTTGCCAGGAATTGAAGACAATGGCGTCGGGATTCCACCTACATAATTTAGAAGTGTCACAACTGTTAAGGCTGTTTGTAATAGTTAATCCTACATGAGAAACATAATTTTAAAGGTGGAATTGTAAAAGAAAAAGTTCGGAGTTCTGATGTAGTGGAAGGGTCATTTGACATGGTTTTAGAGCAACCCATATGCAAATATCACCATCCATGGATTAAAGCGGATTTTAAACAAAAAAGTGATACCGTCGCATGAGTCCAAGTTTTGGCCCAAGAGAAGAGTCCTCAACCTGCAAGGGTATATTAGCATATAAAATTATAACCCTCACTCATGACCTAGTTGTGGAGTTTTGGAGTAGCAGAAGGGTCCTATGTCAATAATATCCATTTCCAAAGATTCTTTTTTGGGCACACATTGTTGCATCCTGCTTTATTAATTAAAGGCTATGAGATTTATACTGGCACACATGTAGCTTTCTTCTTCCTCCCAAAATGATTTTCAGGATTTTTTTACCCCATCATCATCTATCTTCTCAGAACCCAAAAATAAAACTAAAAACTAGAACAGTGGATTGAACAAAAACGAAGGATCAAAAGCTGAAGTATGGTACGTACCGACGATCATTTGTATTGACCAAGAGAGGGGCGTAGCTTGCCATCTCAACAGCATCACTGCAAGAGAAGAGCCATCTCTTTACTCATCAGGACTCGATCAATAATAATAAAAGAGATATATCCAGTTGCTTATCAACCAAATGAATGAACATACCTGTTCTTTTCCAATCCAATAAGGAATGCAGCTTCAGCTAATGCAGCTAAGAGGCTACCAGTACCAGCATCTTTTCCAGTAACCGCATACTCACTAACAAAAGCCTGTGAACATATCACAGTATAATTAACCTTTTTAGAATTTAAAAAAAATTGTGGAAGGATTTTTATAACTTAAACTCTTCGATCATCATACCTTGGGACCAGTACGTGATGTTCTATCAAATTGATTAGCCATGTTGAACAAGGTATTAGCACTATTATAAACCTGTCAAAGAAGTAACGCAGTAAGAAACTGTCTAAATTTGACGAGTAACGGTCGCCACAAACCTCTCCGCATTCGTTATGAATAGAAGGAAAATAAAGAAAAGAAAACGAATATATATATCACATACTACTCAAAACTTGAAACTTGACATATCCAAACTTGCTAGTGGTAGTTTTCATTTATTCTTACATGAAAATCATACAGATCAGCTGGATGATCCAATGGGCGAGAGGAGCCATCACAGTTTGAAATCATCTTAATATCTGAATACGCATTTCTTATTGCATCGTAGAACTTAAGGTAATTCCCTAGCAAAAAGCAAGTTAAGGAATATGTTAGATGGTCCTCTTTTTTTTTTTAAATATACTTTCTGCAAGGTAGCATATTTAAATAGACCACCCTAAAAACTCAACGTATCAATATGAAATCAACAAAACTCCAGATATGTTCTATCAAAATAAATATCAAAGGAAATTCTCACAATTAACTGAAGCTGGCTACATTTAGTAGAAGAATATCAATTGCTACCTACCGCAAAAAGATCATTCATGTACATAAATGCTTAATGCAGTGGAGAGAGAAGTTATTCATTCCATGATTATTCACAAGAATGAATAGATTGTCAAATCAAGCATTCACATGAACCATTGTGAGTCTACACAAAGTAAATTAATTAAAGTAGAGAAAGATTAACAAATATCAATGACAGGAGTTGAGGAGGGCATTCTCTTGGGAAAAAACAAGATTTGAGGATGACTACTTCTCCATGTTAGGAAATCATCTATTAGACATGGTAACTAGTATGTCCCAATGGAAGAATAAAAAGATTTCCTTATAACTGTAGTGAGAATAACTTGTTTCTTTTTCCTAGTATGTCCCAATGGAAGAATAAAAAGATTTCCTTATAACTGTAGTGAGAATAACTTGTTTCTTTTTCACCCTTTTGTTTTTACCCTTTTGTCTATTGGACAGCTGAAGCTCCCTGTAACTGGTGATACGAAATTGGTGAGTTGTCAGGAAGGTTGAATGGAGAATCTTTATACATCAAAGGCCTAAGGTTGAATATAAGATATATTAAGTTTAAATCTATCCTTTCTTTCTTCCTTTTATCCGCATCAAAATAGCTCCTTCTCTTCTTGGTTCTTTCTCTTTGAAGAGAGAAAGATAATTGACTTGATTTCAGACCCAATCAAACCAGAAATTCCACGAACAATGGTACCCTTTATTGCAAGGAATTATTCATCAAAATATTCGGTCAAGGAAGAATTTTTTTTTCAACTATGTCGTTGAAGAAAATGTTGACAAAGATTTAATATCTAAATAACCAGAATATCATCCTTTTTCCTTTGAACTTCAAGAGAGATGTTGAGGAGTGTAGTTGCCATGTTCTGCCTAAGATGCCTTCCAAAAGCATCAGTTTGATGCACGTCTAAACCATGTTCAGCCTAAGACGCCTTCCAAAAGCATCAGTTTGATGCACATCTAAACTTCTATCAGTTTTTAGTGTACAGATAGAAAGCTTTAAGTGGTTTACAAAAATAGTTGCAGACATATAATTTTAACTGCTGAATAAAGAAGAAATGTGTGCACACTTTGATTCACTGGTTGACCACCAATAAGAAACTCCATATAAGCCCAATGAAGAAAACAAACCTCGGTAATTGGGTTTTCCACAATCTTCATTTCCAATTGCAACATATTTCAGCTCAAAAGGTTCTGGATGTCCCATTGCTGCTCTCACGGAGCCCCATGTTGAATTAGTGCTACCCCTAGCAAACTCAATGCTATCAAGAACATCCTGCAATTATAAAATTTAATCAGTAAGGACAGGTGTAAGCCGCGAACCTATTCTCATTTCCACAGGAAAACAAAGGCATTAAAATTTTTGACAGGATAGTATCCATAATGATATATCAGAATTACAATCAATATGTATCATGTAACTTAAATACATAATGATAGGTAGCATGTCTCTACTTTCATAAAAGAGAAGTATTGATATGTCCTACTTTCAAAGTTACTTCCAAGTTTACAGCCAATGAAAATTCTAGTTGGAAATCTCTGAAAAAGTATTGGACCACTAATCATTAACAGAAATAAATTAGATAGTTTAAGGCAAGTCTGAAAACACAGATTAATGTGAAACTTTTACCAGAAGATATAGCATTTCAACGGTAAGGGTGCAGACTATAAAAACAGTAAATCAAAGATTAATGAGTAGTTCCTTTCAGATCCATCCGATTGTTCTTCCGTTACTTTTTTTGGTTCATTGTATTAAATTGTTTTCATTTTGATTTGCCACTGTTTAGCTTCAACTTCTTTTGCTCCTGGCTTTCTTTTCTTGTAATCTTGTGAGTTATTTCATTAAACTCTTAATATTGGAACACTGGGGCAATTCACTCACCATTAACTCAGAAAGAAAAAGGAGTAATGAGTTGAGATATACCTTCACAAAAGGTGCAATGCTGCTTGTAGCAACTTCATCCTGATGGCTGATTCCTGGAATAAACGGAGGACCATATTAAATGTCTAGATTATTATCATAGTACATAGTTTTATTTATACAAGAAATTTACCATTATTGAAGACCCAAATAGGGGCGGCGCCAAGGTCTTCAGCAAGCTGCAACAAATGAGAAAGTTTAGCTACTTAAACAGCTTTCTGAATGTGCGTGTAGATATACCTAAGAAATCAGGCATCATATGTGATAAATATAAATTAATGATTGTCAATTGCCCACCTGAAGAAACTCATAATATCCAAGTCCATCATCGGTCCAATACATCCAGACATCACCAAAATGTCCAGGCCTCTCCTCCCATGGACCAATTGATTCTCTCCACCTGAATGCATTTCTTAACCATTCACCTTCAACAAAGCATCCGCCTGAAACAGAGAAAGGTATTCAGAATCCTACTCTATTATTAACAAAGGAAATATGATATATTCACAGACTATTTATTCATTTTTGACAACTACCTTAAGAAAATTATTTTATCTTATTAGGAGGGAATAAGCTTTATGAACTTGCATATTTGACTGACCACCTTGGTATAGCTATGTACTAGCGCATGAGAATTAGAGAAGGAAATGAAGCCACATGTTTGTTGAAGATAACAAACTATAGCTTATTGTACCTTTATGTCACAAAAAAAAAGAAAATAAATCAATCGAAATATTGTATAAATGCAATCTGTCAAATTACTTTCTTTCTTTTTTATTTACTTATTTATCTATATTAGATAGATAGCTATGTCGTTCAGGTATAAATACAGGTAATAGATACATAAAGGCCTTGAAACCTAGGATATGGGGTGTATCATGATTCATAGTTACAAAAATAATAAATCGATGTGCATGTGATTTAATATTATTTATCTATATACAACATTCATTTCTATGGTCCTAAATATATATCAATAGTTACCAAAAAAATCATAACTTCCACCAGTGAAGTGGATAAATTACATAAATGTATCTAAACATCAAATTCTGAACCCAGTCATGTACTAGATGTTGACTTCTTGTCTCAGTTACATCTCTTACACACCTTTGGGGCATCCGGGATGTTATGTCAAGTTAGGATAAATCAAAGAAGTAGTCCACAAGTGTTCATTAAGTGATCAAGTATCTAGTATTAGATATTGGTGCTCTCTTTTATCCCAAGTATTTATGGGCATATTCAAAATTTATGAGGTCCGGAAATTCATCGTTCTAGGAAGATTAAGCTTTACCATAAAACAATACCTGTATGAACACTACAGCATGTGTAAGGAAATGAATGGGTGTCTGGAATGATTAATGCACAGGATCCTATCAACATGGTATGCATTAAGGTAAACTGTCATTCCAGATAAAAATTCCACTTTTTTAGAATATGCTGAAGGTGATTCTCTCAATGTAATAAGCATGAAATATTCCTGATCTAGAACTTAGCAATTATCTTTTTATATAGTCATTGGCTGACTTTCTGAGGGTTGATTACTGAATAGAGATAACTGCAGCAGGTATGTCAAAAGAGTACTGGACAACTATAGAATAGAAGATCTCATGTCCATTTTTGCTTGTAAGAAGGACAAATGATTAGAAACATTTATGATTTATAATGACAAACCGATAAGAAACTTTTATGATTTATAGTGAGACTACATACCTGGAAATCTTATAAATCTCGGTTGTATTCCTTCTATCATTGAAATGAGTTCCTTCCGAAAGCCGTGCCCCTACAAAAAATGTTAACAATAAGGTAGGATATATTTCAGTTCTGATATGGTTGAAGGTAACACAAATCCCAAAATACCATGATCACATCCTTGTTCTCTTTTTCAAATTGATATAGATATGAAAAAAAACTATACGAAATTTCTGTGATCTTGAATACAAATTTAAATGGCACTCGGATTCTTCAGTGTATAGGAGAAGTACTAGGAAAAAAAGGAATAATCACCTACTAGTAAAACAATCGTGAACAAAAGAGGGTAATTGTTTGCATGGAACTAGAAATCTAATTATTTGCATCAAGTATATACTATCTACCTTATAGGTGTCTGTAGGCATCACTGATACTTGATCCAACCAGATAACTCCTTTGTGATTGGTCGTTAACTGAAGTCTGGAATTACTATTTGTTCCTTTCGATTCCAACTGAAACTCTATTTTTGTCCAATTTGACACTTGTGAAGCTGAAGCTCTGCGAGGAGAAGCACGTTATGCATAAAATAAAAAATATATATAAAAAATTAAACTTGAATATTAAACAGTTAATCATGAATGAGATCTCACATTATATTATTAGAAGCCAGGGTCTGCATTCCATCTGAACTCGTAAGAGAAACTGATAAGTTCAATGAGCCAGATGACATAACGTGAAGAACAACTTTATATGTCTTCCCTTGTTCAATATTCTGTAATATTATAATCAAATAAGGAAACAGATTTAACGCAAAACAACCTTTCATGTAAGGACTGTCAAGAATAAACTTTGGCTTTTCAAACAGTCAGTTGTTCCTTCGAACAAATTTTCAAATCAGACCCATTTCAAATTTTTTTTATTTAAACCAACCCATTTTTTTTATCAAAACCGACCCGATTTTGTAATTAGCAGCTTAATCACCATCCTAAACAGTCGGGGTTGCCAACCCCGACTATTTAGGAAGGTGTTAAACCCTAATTAGAAGTCTTAAACCCTAAAAATTAATGTCCTAAATAGTCGGGGTTGCCAACCCCGACTGTTTAGGAAGGTGATTAAGTAGCTAATTACAAAATCGGGTCGGTTTTGGTAAATAAAAAAAAAGTGTCGGTTTTAAAAAAAATGGGAATGGGTCTGTTTTGAAAAATTCTTCTTGTTCCTTCCTTATGTTTCCTCATGCATATAAGTACATGTTTTCTATGTTTTCCTTACCTGCCTTCACCTTTTCTTTTCGTTAATTTTTAATTTTTTTGTAGGTGGATTTTTTTCCTTTTCTTTTTTTTTTCTTTTGTTTGTTTGTTTGGTTTGTTGGTTGGGTTTCTCTTTTTTTTTTCTTTTTTTTTCCTGGTGGGTTAGGGGGGGTAGGTGGGGTTAAGAGAAATATAATTTCCTTTCAAAGAAATTTTTTTATAGAATAACTACTTATCACGCATGAGATGTACCATGCCCCAATATCCGGGATTATATACGCCAACACCACTATCTGGGCATCCCACCGGGTCACAAAGAACTTCCATACGAAGGGCAACTTTGTTACGGTTGAAACAAGATGACCGATCAGTTAACACATTAATGAAAGTTTCATTCCCAATGATGCCCCATGGATCAATGTTTGAAGGAGTGTTTGGCCCTCCAGCTTCAAATCCTGAAAATACAAGTTGTGAGGAGTTCAAACAGAGAGAGAAAATTCATCACAAGAAAACAACACGAATCACTGGCAAATCATTCATTTCTTTGGTCAGTAATATTCAAATTTAAATGAATCCAACCATTTGATATCTTAAACACTAAATATGAAATTGGGTGTAACAAACTGATGTATGGTACAATATTTCTAATTCCTTTGTTAGTTTAAATGTTAGTTCCTTTCCACCAAGAACTATAATCCTAACTCATTGATCTCTTCTATAATCTCTTAATCCAGCCAATTACGTGAAAATATCTGAAACCGAAACTTAGGTTTATTTTCCAGGTTGCTTGCAGTAGAAAAGAAGAGTTACAATTGCAGTATCAGCTTTCTAATGGAGACCTAAATTGAAATTTTGTTAGTTTCAAAATATTTAAGACAACATGAATGAGAATCATTGAATTTACAAATTTGAATGTTTTATCTCCAATCTAAATTTGAGTACGACAAGGTTCTTGACAAAAAAAAACCTTGATTTATCATCCGTTCAAGGTTATTGAATACAGTAAACACAACAAAGTTTGTATACAGAACTTGTTATCGTTTAGGAGGGATTGCCTCAGTACATTATAGCAGCTAGTTGCTATTATACAGTAAAAGCTTGTCTATATGTCTTTGTAATACTTGTGGATCAGCCCTGCAGCACTCTGCTGCAAAGCCATTTTCGTCAAACTTGAAAAGATGCCATTATAGGTGAACCAGAGAAGGGCTTATGAAGTCGACTCATATTACATGCATGGGCTGGAAATGACATATTATGTCTATCTGAATGTTATTATTTTCTGTGACACCTAAAACATTTATAATAGTGACTATGGAACTCCCAGTTTTCTTTTCTGTTGTCATTGTGTGATTCCATTTTGATTATTACCTCTGTTGCTGACAAGTTCTGCCCATATCCCACCAGCTCCTGCATGGTTGATCTCCTACATGGAAGACGACGGAATAAAGAAAACAAACAGTCATTGAGGAATTTATAGTTACTAAATTTTTAGTGCAACCAAACCATGCAAGGGATTTCAAGTATAGAAGTCCTAATGTGGCATTTTTAACTTGTTCCTTCGAGAACACAATGACACAGAAAAACCATTTCCTTATAAATATTGGTAGAGCTAACATGTCTATAAACGATGAACTTAAAAGATACATGTGATACACTTCAGATGCTATGTTTGACGATCTAGTGTAAAATGGACAACATCAAAAGCTCATTCGTATGCAGACTGAGGTCAGAATCAAATGAATGATCAATGAACTACCACTTCGCAATTAATATGTCGTTTCTCTATTTCAACCAGTAAAAGTTCTGAAAAGAAAATAGTAAATAGCCTGCATTACAGCAATCTTTCACTGCATAAATCATAACACTGTTCCTCGTAAGATCAAACACCTCTGGGTAATGCAAAAAGTTCTCTCAGGCTTAATTCTTCAAAGCATATTCATTTCCACCTTCCATAGAACGATAAGTTAATGAAATGAGGAAATAACTTAACGAGAGCGTAGTGTTGTCGTTTCCGTCAATATAATTGAAGATATTAGGTGTCACAAACATCAATGTCTCAAAGATGCTTAAATTCATTTAGTAGGTTTTCTGCAGTGTTCATGGCCAATTATAAACTATTTTAGAACACATCTCCACAAGCATAAGAAATAAAGAAATTCACCTCAAAAAATATACCAAATAGATGGTCAGGAATCTTCCGCCCTGATTGTGGTGATGCATCTATCTTGAGGAATGCTGTCTGATTTACTTCCAAATCATAGGCAAAGCTCTTACAAGAAGCTGATATCAAGAACAGAGCACAAAACAAGACACCAGAAGTTGTCCTCTGAAGGCCGATCATCATCTCCTTGTACACTATTTAACCACCGAAAAGAGTAATATCGACAATAAGCATCAGAAGGTGTAAGAAAGTACAATAAAACATTCGCGTATAAATTCAATGTCACAGCGCAATAAACTACACAGGACTTTATGTACTTTTTTCCTCTCATAAAAGTGAGTACATACTCATGAAAGAGCTTTTGCAATGCAACATTGATCTATCCATTAGGCCCTTTGGTTTGTTTATAACCATATAAAGTTGAATGCAACTCCCTATACTAAATTTATCATCTTCCCTCTCCTTGTGGACTCTTTGTTTGATAATAAAAACTTCTCTCTGGATCCAAAATCCATAGAATCATCATCAGTTCATTTGCATCCCCTCTCTTCGTTTTCTTTCTTGGGATTCTACCCAAAAATGGAAACCATATTTTGGGGTTTTAAAAAAAACCTCTTTTGAACTGGCACAGCACAATTAATCACAAAAAAATCACTGAGCTCTGAAAATGTCCGTCCAATTAAGAGACTAAAGGTCGAAAATTGACAACCAAAACAAGCAGCATGCGCATTTAATCATGCAAATCACCAGCACGGATCATTATTGATCTTATTTATATACGTACTATATTACACCAGAATCAAATTATGATGGGTCGATCAATAAAAACCCATATGAAATTTCCTGCAACCTGATCAATACAATATGAAAGGAATCAGAACCTTACCCAAAAAAACCAATTCAACAGTAGGCCCAAAGAGGATGAAGATTGAATTCGGGTTTAATTTTGAGGGAAGGGGTTTGGGGGGTCTTTATAGAGAGAACCTTTTTCTATTTTTTTTCTCTTTTTTTTTTTCAAAGGGAGCAGTAGAGCTTAGAGACTGTTGCCGACGTGGCATTTTATCGGTAACTGTTTGGATCTATGCCGTTGGATTGAGATCCAACGGCCCGATCTCGGCCGATTGCCGACTCCTCACTCCACGCTTTGTTTTGCTTGCAAGGATTGTTGGAGCCTGGGAGGCGCCCGTGGGCTCCACTTGCTCTTTATTTTGTACGGGGCTTTTTTTAATTTTCGCGGTTGAACCTTTTTAAATTTTATAAAGTAGTTGAAACAATTGAATAGATCGAGTGCAAGATTACCATGGATCATTATTTATTATATAAATATATCCATTGCCTAGATTTTTTTTAAAGAAAGTAGTTGAAACAATTGAATAGAGAGTGCAAGATTATCATGGATTACTATTTATTATATAAATATCTATTGACTATTTTTTTTAAAGAAAGCAATTGAAAGAAGGAAAATTTGTGTCAATGCCTCAATATAAAGAGTAGCATATGATTTGACCCTTCCACCTTTTCCCATTGTGGATCGGACACAAAAAATATTACTTCATGTGATTCAGTTCTTTATTCTCTGCCAACTAAACAGAGAGAGAGAGAGAGAAACAAACATAAAATCCGAAAATACCATCATTTCCTCCTGTCTTTTCTCTCCAGATCTAAATCTCCATGGCACCTCCTTCCTCATCTCCTCTCATCTCTTCCTCTCTCCTAACACATATCCATCCTCCTCTCTCTCTCTCTTCCTCCTTTTTCTCTCAAGCACTGACATTCCCTTCCGCCACCACAGACCTTAGGTGCACACTCCAGCCATGTTATTCGCTCCTTTGGCCGGCAATGGCGAAACCCTTGAATTCGTCCGAGTTGTCGTCGGATGATCTGTCAAACAACAGATCAGTCTTCGACATTGAAGGCGAAGAGGCAACATTGAAGGCGAAGAGGTGGTGAAGAACAAGGCGGAGGAGGCGGCGGAGGATGACGAGGAGGAGCTCGAGGCTGTCGCAAGTTTCACAAGACCTCTAAACTATCAGATTTTTAAAGAAATTTGTAATTTCTGTTTGAACATCATGAAAAGATAAAAATTTAAAGAAATACCAGATAAATATAATTTTTTGATATTTTTTTTGTTAAGTTCAAGTCCAAGATAGAATATTAAGTCTAATGAGTTGGAAGTGAAGTCCAAGGGCTTATGTGTTAAGTCTACTAGGTTGAACAATAAGTCCAAGGGCTTGTATGTTATGTCTATTGGGTTGAATAATAAATCTAATTTGTTGAATGTTAAGTGTAATGGATTATATGTTAAGTCCAATTTATTGAATGTTAAGTGTAATTTGTCACATGTTAAGTCTAATACGTTATATGTTAAATCTAATTAGCGTGATGTTAATTCTAATTGATTGAATGTTAAGTCTATAGAGTTGAAAGTGAAGACCAATGTCTTGTATGTTAAGTCTACTGGGTTGAATAATAAGTCTAAATGTGAAATGTTAAGTGTAATGGATTATATGTTAAGTCTAATTTGTTAAATATTAATTGGGTTACATGTTTAGTCTAATGCGTTGTATGTTAAGTCTAATTGGTATGATATTAATTTTAATCGGTTGAATGTTAAGTCTAGTGTTGAATATTAAGTCTAATCGATTAAATGTTAAGCCTAATTGGAAGATACTTTTTATCTAATAAAAAGCACGTTATTTATACTGAAAATAATATTAAGTCTAAACTGTTCAATGTTAATTCTAATGAGAGGAATGCCAAGTCTAATCTGTTTAATGTTAATTCTAATTAGAGGAATGTCAAGTCTAATAAGTTGAATTTTTAAGTCTAATTGGAAGATTGTCAAGTCTAATCTATTGAATGTTAAGTCTCGTTTGGTAACTCAAATTAGTTCGATATTAAGTCTAATGAGTTGGAAATGAAGTCCAATGGCTTATATGTTAAGTGTAATGGATAATATGTTAAGTTAAATTTGTTAAATGTAAGTATAATTTATTATATGTTAAGTCTAATGGATTATAGTATGTTAAGTCTAATGCATTATATTCAACTCTATAGACTTAACATTCAACCAATTAGAATTAACATCATGCCAATTAGACTTAACATATAATACATTAGGCTTAACATGTAACAAATTACACTTATATTCAACAAATTAGACTTAACATATAATCCATTACACTTAACATTCAACAAATTAGACTTATTATTCAACCCAATAGCCTTAACATATATACAAGCTCTTGGACTTGACTTTCCAACTCTATTGACTTAATATTCAATCAATTAGAATTAACGTCACGCTAATTATATTTAACATACAACACATTAGACTTAACATGTGACAAATTACACTTAACATTCAATAAATTGGACTTAACATATAATCCATTACACTTAACATTCAACAAATAAGACTTATTATTCAACCCAATAGACTTAGCATACAAGCCATTCGACTTATTATTCAACCCAGTAGAAACATACAAGCCCTTGGACTTCACTTCCAGCTCATTAGACTTAATATTCTACATTGGACTTGAACTTAACATTAAAATTTATCAAAAAAATCGTATTTAGTCGATATTTCTTTAAATTTTCATCTTCCCACGATGTTCAAACATAAAATATAAATTTCTTTTAAAAATTAATAGTTTAGAGGTATTGTGGAACTTGTGACGGCTTGGAGCTCCTCCTCGTCCTCCTCTGGCACTGCCTCCTCCGCCTCGTTCTTCATCACATCTTCGCCTTTAGTGTTGAAGAACGATCTGTTTGACAAATCATTCGACTAGAACTCCGACGAATTTGAGTGTTTTGCCATTGCCGGCCCAATTAGGGCTTTTATTTGGTTTTGGTGGGAAAAGAAAGAGAGCAGGGAAAATTAGTGGGAGAAAAAGAGCGAACAACATGGCCGAAGCGTGCACCCAAGGTCGATGATGGCGGAGGGGGTGTCGGTGTTTGAGAGAAAACGGAGGAAGAGAAAGAGAGGAGGAAGGAGATGAGTTAGGAGAGATGAGAAGAGGAGAGGAGGAATGGGGAGCCATGGAGATTTAGATATAAAGAGGAGAGAGAAGGAAATGATGGTATTTTCAGATTTTATGTTTGTTTCTCTCTTTCTATGCCTAGTTGGCGGGGAATAAATGGCCGAATCACATGAAGTGATATTTTTTTGATCTGATCCAAAATGGGAAAAGATGGAAGGGCTATGTCATATGATACTCTTTATATTGGGGTATTGACACAATTTTTCCTTGAAACAATTGAATAGAGAGTGTAATATTACCATGAATCATTATTTATTATATAAATATATAAATATCCACTGACTAGATAAGAATATAGAATTGCAAAATGCATACAGATGTAAATAGAAAAGCAATAAGATTCAAAATATATACAAGTGATGTGCATAACACCTATCTGAATATTGTACAACTTGAGTAATGGAAATGCAGGACCGAGGTCTTCTAAAGACTGTTTGGTTTAAAGAGAAAATGTTGATTTATGAAAAGAAAATCAAATTCACGTACTTAGGTTTTCAACCCATTTTTACGGGAAAAGAACTTTTGAAACGGGTTTCTATGAAAATTTATAAGATTGTTACTCTTTTTATCTTTCATGTGGATCCTATCCTGTGGCTCTTCTCCTTTTTTCTTTTTTTTTTTTCGTTTTTGTTTTGTGGACATTTACATAACTTAAAGGGTAGTGAAAAACTAATAAAGTAGAAAACTAAGCTACGTGTCACCACGCAAGTGGTATGCTCTGGCTTCTCTTATTTTGGGTACTGATTGGACAAGCTCGCATAGGGGAACTAATCAATTATTTGTGGCCGTCATCAGCCAAAGTGTTCCCAGTAGAGCCACACATTAGATTTTATCCACCAGAAAAATTGACGTGTCATAGAAGAGACGTCCTCCTCTGCTCATAAATTTGCATGACAAATTATTTTTTGTGGGGAGTGGTATGGAGATAATGTGTTAAGCCATATATTGGAGTAATGCTAGAGTAAACTTAAGTTAAGCGAGGCCGTTATACATCCGTAAACTTTTTAATTCATTAGATTGGCTTTGAAATTCGTATTGCATGTGATATACATAAAAGGCTATCTTAGAGATGCGTGTCTTACGCATCTTAGTACATGCCAGTACAAATCTCAAATAAAATCTAATAGATAAAAAAATAGTAGATATATAAGAGCTTCTATCTACTTAAAAATTTATAAGTGTTTTTACTTAGCCATATTCTGGATATACTTAAAGTGCATAAACATAAAATAATGATTTCTCAAGTAATGGACCAGTGGTGTGGCACTTTATTGGACACATTAGATTGATAGATCTGATTACTATTTATCACTTGGTAGCTTATTTTTGTCAAATGAATTGCACATAAAAAAAGAGTATGAGCTAATAACTCATTTCTATAAGTAAGTTTCATTAGTCATACCGCTGATCACAATAAACAAGTTACATTAGTCATACCGCTGATCACAGATAGAAAAAAAAAAGGTCTAGTTTCTTTTATTCATTGATTTTTTTAAACAAATAAATTGTAAGCTCAAATCTTGTGTAAGTACGTTATAAAATCTGCAGAGTATCGTTGTAGTAATTGTTGGCTTAGAAACAGAGGTTTCCAACAATAAGCACAAACGTGTAAGCATGTCATTCTTTTGTCTACTAGTCGTTAAAGCCGAAAAAGGTGTACAATGTATGAAAACTTGCGTGAGATCAAGAAGCAAGTTTGTTGAACTTAGGGTGCAAACAGTTGATAGAATATGATGATTATTATATCTATATCTATATGCCAATCATAGAAATAGATACAAATATATATCGATAAAGAAAGTTTATATATCCCAATCTGCTATATGCAATATAGATAAAGATATGCATCTGAATGTATAGGTGGATATACATACGGATATGGAAAGGATATGAGAAGACCACATAATATTTAAAATATATATATATAGTTCATATGACACAATGGAGTTCATGAATATGTCCATAATATCTAAAATGCTAAAATTA